ATGCCAGCCACAACATTGTGAATTCCTCAGGGAGGTGCCAGTCTCATCCTCTTGTATCTTCCACGCTCCTCAGGAGATGTAAGAAAATGTTTTTTTCCCTGAGCCTGGCCTTCATAATTCCACTCCATCACAGGTATGTACTGTAATGCTACATGGCTCAGTTTCAGACTCTGGTAGTCCATTCCTCAAATGATACGTTATGTAGCTATATAGCTTCTGAGTATTTTGGGGAAGAGGACACTTCTTTCTCCTGAAACATCCCAGTGTAATACACGAAAGAAGCTGTGTAACCATACTTCATCCATTACCTCTCTCCTTCCCTTCATGCCATCCCCACACTCTTCCAATATGTACCATTTATTTTTAATTACTTCATTAGGTCAATTCCTCCTCCATCTTCCTCGTCTCCCAGTTTTTTTTCCTCCATCCCTCATGCTTTAACACAATACACTCACAACTCCTTGTTACATTTTGGGGGGGGGAGGGGAGGAATATGTCTTTATTTACAAACTTATAGTCCCCAGAGTACAATCTACTACTTCAAAGCAAGTGCAATCTTTAGAGGATATTGTAAAATCTTATAATACATTTTCAAGATGTACAGATATGTTTAAAATAATAATATAATCAACTAATGTTGCAAATTGAAATCTTACAGTTAAAGGTAGCATTATTAGATGAGATGCTCAGGAAAAGAAAGGTGAGAAATTTAAAGGACAAAAAGCAATGTATAAGTCAGTGTATGGATAAGATGGAAGCAAGGATGGTTGCAAGGATAGAAAGGTATGGAAAAGTAACAAATAGTTAATTAGGTTTAGTTAGTTTGCCTTTCCTCTTTTTCCTGCCTCTGGTTCTTTTGCTTATTGCTTTTTACTCTTTTTCTGTTCTTTACATAGCATTGCAACATTGCTTGATGGGTGGATATTATGTAATGTTAGTAATTACAGCACTACTGTTGCATTTGAATGGCTTATTGAACAGGTAGCATTTAAAATTTAATGTTGTACAAATATATTGCATTGCATAATACAGATCATCTTCAGATATGTTTGCTTTGTTTGGGAGTCTGCCAAGCATCTTCCTCTTGGAATGTTTATTATGTGTCATTTTAATATATTTATTTACATTTATTTATAATTATATTTATAAGGCTACCCAATTCAGGATGAGTCTGAATGACCTTATAAATTAAAATTATCAATAAAAAATAATACTTTTTTCATTCAGGGTAATGTAGAAAATAGAATTATATCAACAATAAAATACATACATAAAATTAAATTTGAGAGAGATAAAATAGCAACATATCAATCAACTAAAAACAATATGAAACATTATAAACCAGCTTTGGTTCCAAGCTCTTTAGAAGTATAAATGTAAGCAACAGCAACTCAAAATGAATAGTCAGCCAATGTGATTATTTCCAATTAGACTCTGTGTAGTTGCCAAATTCTGTATTAGTTGAAAATTGTAGAATATCTTTTTAGAAAGATATGCACAACATATTACAGTAATCCAACCTGGAGGTTACTATAACATGAAACTTGGTATTGAAATCTTTCTGCTATCCACCTTATTATTCATATGCCCCACATTCTTCCCATCTTCTGCATCTGATTGGGATAGGGATGGGGAACAAGGTCTGAAAAATATATATATTTCCAGTCATGGGATATACTAATAAGTTGAAAATCTTGAGCAACTTGTTCCAATTCATCAAAGTTTCCATCTTTTGAAATTGCAAGGCTCCAAGTTAAAAATTATGATTGTCAAACACTGATCTGATTAGAAAAGGAAAATTAACTTATGCTAGTATTCTTGAGTATCTGTTTACTAGACTACAGGTGAAACACAATGAAGACACAAGCTCATTATGGTTAATTTTATCAAAATTACATGCCCCTGTACTTATTTGTACTTATGACTGAAATGTTATTGTCCTGCCTGATATTCTTAAAATATTCTTCCTGTTAACTAATCTTAGCAAAACATTTAAACACATCAAAATGTACCAGACAACAGAAGCACATAAGATCATCAGCAATGCAGGAGAATAGTATAATATAGCTTCTTGATTCTGATTAAAAATTTTTTTAAAAAGGCCTTTGTATCAACAGCAGCGAAATGAGCTAATACTTTCTTGGAAGGGTATTCCATAGGTACACATACTACTATCATCTAAAACATCTTGCAGTGTCCACTGAAACTTAAGTGGAGGAGTTAGAATTGTTATTCAGTGTTATTGGGTTTGTATGAAGGGATGAAGACATATTTACCAAATAGGCTGGTCCTAAATGACGTAGGACTTTAAAACTTAAAATCAGAACTTTGAGTTGGATCTGGAAATATTAACATTTTACAATAATGTAATATTGCAGTAATATATTCATATATATTATGTTCTGCCTTTTCTTGACTTACAGCTAAATTTGCATTTTTTAAAAATGTAATCCTATTAGATTGCTGGATTCCTTGGAATGCTATGGTGCCTGAGTCTGCTGGCATGTATATATGGAGATAGCACTGGATTTCCTATGCAGGCAAACCCACTTATCTTATATGGATTTATGCTGCTGTTCCTTATCAATCCTACAAAAACCTTTTACTACAAATCTCGATTTTGGCTGCTTAAACTCTTGGTAAGTTGAGATCTGGTTAAAATCCATTAGCAACTGACTGTCTCACCACTCCTCCTACCAAAAATATTATAATTGAATATTCTCAGATTTAGTTACGTGGGCTACCTGCATTGCTTATCCACAGGCAGTTTGTATGTTAAACTTAGTGGTACGAGTAGGTTGAACAGTAAACGCTGAATTTACAGAGTTTGTGACTGAAGATTTCATAACCATGTCTTTGATAGCAAAATCATTACATTTTTTTGTAATATAATAGTTCTATCACCATTGCTGAAATAAGTATCATTTTAGATACCAACTGATCATATGTATTTGAATTCTTTTGTTTTATCTGTTAAACTGTTTAGTAGAAAGACTCTGACACTTGTAAAATAATTTCAGTGTACACTGGCACTTTCATAACCATCCCAGTAGCAGTGTTACTCTTTGGATAATCTTGTCCTGAGCATAAAAATGTAACAATTGTATTTTGTTCTTATATCCAAAACAATGAACACCTGTAATAGATATGGCTTCTCATTGCTGCTGCAAGTGTAGTAACTGAAGAACTCCTTTCCATTCCATTGTATCCTATCCTGCCAGCACTGAGAGTGCTGCTTTACTCACTCATTCTCTTGTAGCATTTGACTCAGCTCCTTGAAGGTGTTAGAATTGAATCACTGAACTCTATCTTAATGTTCATAACATTGATAATTAACATTCAGACTGAGTTTGGCTGATTTGAAATCAGCGGGGAACTGAAATTTGGTCCAATTGCATCTTAGCAAAACCAGTATATATTGGGGGGAAGGGGAGAAGATTGAAGGAGGAGAATAATTAGTTGTTCTTTACAAAGTTCAAAATGATGGTACAGTGCAACCTAATCTGTAAATAAATGTACAGTTTGAATGACTACAATATTTGATCATTTGTCATGAATATTCTGTTCCTTTTCATCCTGAACTTGATCCAACTAGCTATGCTTCTGGATTCATAGAGAAATATATGTATTATATTTACAACTATCTTGTATGTTGCCTCATTTCATGTGGTTTATATGTAAATCAGATTCCTGTATTTCTATAAGATTTCCATAGGTTAGACTTGTATATGCTTTGACAAGAATTATTGCTACCAAGTAGCAGAAATGTCAGAAGTTTCTGAATAAAGTTTTTTTTAATTACATTTTGGCAAAATGTGTTTAATTTTTGAGTGGAGGAATCTAAAAGACATATGTGGTATCTAAAATATCACCAGCAAGAACATTATCCTCTGCCCCCTGCTTGTTTGTGTTATATAGATCTTGGTGTTGCCATTTTAGCATTTGGATGATGTTGTTCTAACTAACCATGCAGGAAGAGCTATAATCCAAGATAAATGGAGCATGAAATGGCCGAGTTTGAGAAGCACATAGCTGAAGGCAGAATGGACTGAGATGGAGAAACATCTGTTTTTACTATTTCCTCCGCTGTGGTTGCAGAAGTGTGTGAAAGCAAACATTTCCACAATGGTGGTCCTTAGTGGCAGTTTCCCAACACTTGATGCTTGGAGATAGACAACTTAAACTTAAAAGTATTTTATGATCCATAACAGATTTCTATAAAATTGTCAATGTCAACTAATTTTGACAACCATTTCACCACTGCAATTAATGACAAAACTCTTAATTATAATGCAGTTTTAATTTGAATGCTATTATAATAAATGTAAAGCAAGATTTGAATATAAATTCTCAGTCGAACACTATCTGCAAACTTTCCATAATTTTTATTTTTGTCATTTATTATAGTAAAGTATAATGGTGGAGGTGATCAAAGCACTTTAAAAGTTAGGTACTTCACCTCCCTCAGTCCAATATCTTTGGCTATAGATACAGAGATTAGTGGAAGTTTAAGTTCAAAATGGTTTGAACTAGGGCATCTGATTGTTGCGTACTCTGCATTAGGACAAATCAGGCTCATAATAAATAGACATGCTATTTACATAGAATTGCACTGAGAAATCCTTTAGTTTCTACATCTGCCTTGTAAAACTGAATGATAGAATAATTTCTGTAATGCAGTTTTACCATTTAAGAAAATGTTTCAACTTTCTGGGTCTGGGTTTTACAATATTGTACTTTGAACCTTCTCATTTTTTGTAGTTCCGGGTATTCACTGCCCCCTTCCATAAGGTGGGTTTTGCAGATTTCTGGCTCGCTGACCAGCTTAATAGTCTGGCTGTAATACTTATGGACCTCGAATACATGATTTGTTTCTATAGCTTTGAGCTCCAGTGGAAAGCTAAAGATGCGTTGCTGGAAGATCCAGGTATGTCAGTGAGAGGAGATTTGGTAACTGCCATATAGATTTGTGTGTACTGTATACTTAAGACAAAACTGAGTTTTATTTATTCAGTGCAACCATACAATCACATTTATTATACATATTCAGTGTCTCTTTTAGTGGGGGTGGGGTGGTGGAAATAAATAATTGTTCGTTTGCTAAGTTTTCATTTTCCAAGAGTCCCTTATCTGTGAACACATTTAATAGTATACTTTACTGATTAGTCAACTGACCATATCAAAGCATAGACATCAGCCCCAGTGAGATACAATGAAATGGAATAAAGTGAGGTACAATAAAATAAGATAAAATAGACTACAGTGAGATAAAATAGATAAAATATAGTAAGGTAAGATAAAGTAAGGCTAAAAAGTAGGATACTGTATAATAGAGTGCAGAGATATATAATAAGATGAATATTAACATTTGAAAACAGTATGTTTTTAGGTAAATTCATCACCTTTGCATGCAACCCCAGTATGTTCTATGAAATGTGTTCTCTGTTGGACAGCCCTGAGTATAAACTTAACAGTTTTAGTGACTACATACTTGTTTGTGCCCTGAAATAAGATAATATTTTGTTAGAGTCCCAATATATAGTTCTGTCAGGTAGTGTATGTTATGTTATGTGTGCCTGGGTACTTTAAAGTATTTTATTTACATTGTTGAATATTAACAGGAATTATTCATCAGCAATTCACAAGATCATTTTCTGAGAGATTTCTTGCCAGTTGAAAGTTGTCTTTTTTTATAGGTATTGATACATGCCACACTTATGCTTATGGTGTGCGCGCAGTTGTTCAGTGCATTCCTGCTTGGCTGAGATTCGTCCAGTGCCTGCGCCGATACCGTGATACTAAACGGGCCTTTCCCCATCTGGTTAATGCTGGGAAATACTCCACTACCTTCTTTATGGTGACATTTGCAGCCCTTTACAGTACCCACAAAGGTATTATTTTGGAGTCTTTGCTGATGAGTCCTATGTCTCTGCTTTTAAGTGCCAGTTTATTTGAGACTTCTCAGAATTGTTGACAGTGTGTCTTTATGAGGTACAGGTAACAATGGTAATTGGGATCAGGAACGCCATCACTAATTGATGCGGTCATCAAGTGCGATGTCATGTGACTGCGCCAACTTACAACAGCCATTCCAGTTGGGTTGCTAGTCAAATCTTGCATGGTCATTAGGTGCAACATCATGTGATTGACATTTGCGACCTCCTGCTGGCTTCCCCATTGACTTTGCTTGCCAGAAGCCAGCAGTGAAGGCCACAAATGGTGATCATATTACTGCAAGATGCTGCAACCATCGTAATTGCAAGCTGGTTGCCAAACACCCGAATTGTGATCACGTGACCATGGGGATGCCGCAGTGACTGCAACTTCTAGGGCTGGCCGTAAGTCTCCTCATTCAGTGCTGTCATAACTTTGAATGGTCGCTGAATGAATGGTCATTAACTGAGGACTACCTGTATATATTTAAGAAGTTTATATTAAATTTCAAGAATAGCTTCTGAGTAAATTAAATAAAAGAAAATTACCCAATTTTTTTCCCATTCTGCTATGGAATTTGATGAACTAAGCAGCAGTGACTTAAGTGAAACAAATAAAATCCTCTATACTCACTAAAACAATGGTATTTTTATTATAATTCTGTACAATCAGATCATTTCAGTTCCTTTCTTCCAAATTATTACACAGTTTTTTTTAATAGTACCATCAGGATGCATGATGCATAAACACACACACACTTACACACACAATTTATATAAAAAAGACCATTTTCTATTCCCAAAGAAGTTTTCAGTCAAAATTTTAATTATGGAAAAAACCAATGGAGGCAAGATGATGATGATGATGATGATGATGATGATGATGATGATGATTTCTTCTGCTGCTGCTGCTGCTTCTCCTGCTTCTCCTGCTGCTGCTTCTGCTTCTCCTCCTCCTCCTCCTCCATTTATTAAATTTATCATGTCTGCCTACTCCAAAGACTCTGGGTGGCTTACAACATAGCAAAATTAAAACAGTTAAAAATAGAACAGCAAAACATAACAGTTTGGACAAAAAAACCCCACAGCTATAACAATCAAAAACACAATAGGAGCTCCATAAACAATCTGACCCCAGTCCTGGGAACAGACCAAGTCTTAAGAGCCTTCTCTTAAGAGAGAGGGTGCCATACATATCTCTGGATGGATGCTATTCCAGAGGGCAGAAGCTGTGACAGAGAAGGCACGCTTCCTTGGTCCCACAACATGAAAGTAGTAGAGATGACTACAAGTAACATACACATACTTGCAATAAGAGTTATAAAATGAGTTTTGAATCTGTTTAGGGCTGTAAATTGATTCTAATTGTTTCCAATCAAATCAGTTGCTCTGTGTTTATAGAGTCGGTGCCATTTTAAACATCTCTTAAGATTTATGCAAATGTATTTTTGTTATAAACAAAAACAGTTTAGCTCATAGATGTTTAGAAGAATCTATGGTATTTCAAGAGGGTATGTACAGGTAGTCCCCAGTTTAAGAATGGGTTCTGTTCCCAAGGTCTGTCCTTAAGTGAAATTTGTAAGCCGGAACAGTATTATTGTATAATACTGTATAAGTGGTATTGTGTAATTAGCTGCAATCACTGTGTATTTAATACAAATTTTGCTAA